TATATATATATATATATATACACACACACACACACACACACACACACACACACACACACACACACTATTGGGTTCATATATTCAATTTGTCACCCATACTGGAGTCTTTGCACTAGTAGAGGTTGCAGGAACAGGTAGAGGAAGAATTTTGTGAGCAGATACTGTGAAATAAAATGAAGACCTTATAGTAAATAGTTCATTGTTATTTAAGAATGTCTATTCTAGTCTTTGTATCTTTTCTTTGCAGAGTATAGTTTATTTTTAGTTGTACAGCTATAATTAGAACCCAGTATTTTAAGCTTCCAAAATTGTGTTAAAGAATGCTATTTATTTACTAAGTCATTAGGCCTAACACAATAACAAGGTGCTCAAGTCTGTAAAAAACTTGCTTGAACAGAAAACAATGTGTTTGCTGAGTCTTTTATTTTATTTTAATTTTTTTTTTGAGAGAGAGAGAGAGAGAGAGAGAGAGAGAGAGAGGCAGGGAGAGAGAGAAAGAGAGATTTGGTCCACTTATTCATGCATTCATTGGTTGATTTTTTTTATAATTATAGGTAATATTTATTGAATATTTATTATTTTTCACCACTTTACCAAACTTTTTTATATGTTATCTTAGTTAATTTTCACAACAGTCTTTCTCTCTTTCTATCTCTCTCTGTCTAGCTCTCTCTCTCTGTCTCTGTCTCTGTCTCTTTTGTTAATCCTTATCTGAGGATATTTTCCCCATTGATTTTTTTTTTTAGAGAGAGTGGAAGGGAAAGAGGCCTGAGGGGGAGAAGGGGAAAAGAGAGAAAGAGATAGAGAGGGAGAGAGAGAAGGATAGAGAGAGAAAGAGAGAGAGAGAGAGAGAGAGACATCCATGTGAGAGAGACTCATTGGTTGGTTGCCTCCCACATGTGCCCCAATAGGATCGGGGATCGAACTTAACTACCCAGCCAGGGCTTGCTGAGTCTTTTAAATGCACTAACAGACTCCACATTAAAAAAATTTCCCATGAAAATTAGAGACTGTCATGAAGTGTATTGAAAGTAACCTATATTGCTCTGGCCCATGTTGCTCAGTTGATTGGGCATTGTTCTATGCACTGAAAGGTTGCCAGTTCGATTCCTGGTCCGGGCACATGCCTGGGTTTCAGGCTTGAACCCTGGTAGGGGGCATGCAGGAGGCAGCCAATCGATGTTTTGCTCTCACATTGATGTTTCTCCTCCTCTCCCTTCCTCTCTCCCTAAAAATCAATTAACAAATATTTTTAAAAAGCAACCTATATTGATTTAAAAGAAAAAAAAGGGTACCACTATTATTCTTTATTCTGAAGTGTAAAGTTAGGGAGAGATTGAGAAAAAAGAGCTGTTGGCTTAAAAAAAATAATTGTCATTTTGAGGGCAGACCCAGCTTTCATGGATAAAAGAAAAAGTTGAATTGTATGAACAAAATGAAATATCTAATGAAAATATCTAATTCTCTAAAGCACCACAGTGACCACTACACAACTTAATCTCTCTCCTCCAGTGAATACACAGTATGAGAGGCCAGGTTTCTGGTTTTCTGAGGCAGCAATTTAATCACTAGCAATTTAAATTCATTCATATCACAGCCGAACTCATTGCAACCTCCCTCCCAAGGCCTTAGAATCAAGTTGTGTTGTTATGATCAGGCAATGTTAAGGATATTAAAAAACATTTTTTCTTACTGTATTTTTAAAATTTATCATTTTTTTAATCTTTATTGTTGAAAGTATTACATAGGTCCTCCTTTTCCCCTCATTAACCGCTTCCAGCCCACTCCCCACTCCCAGGCCCTCACCACCCATTGTCTGTGTCCAAGGGTTATGCATATATGCATACAAGTTCATTGGTTGATCTCTTCCCATCCACCCACCCCATGAATACTAAAATGCATTTTTATCTATTTCTTTTCCACCACAACTTTTTTTCAAGTCTCTAATGCAAACAATTACTTTTAAATATGCCTTAAGAGAACAATCAGACTATTTTCTTTATGGCAGCAGATTCCTTCATCTCTAATATTCTGTTATTCTTCATTCTTATACCTGTCCTTCCTTTTTCTCAGTATTCCTGGAAGCACTCTGAAAAATGATCAAATACCTAATAAACAATTTGAAAGATTTTTGCATTGATTCTATTATCTCTAAGAAAAATGGAAAAGCAAATTACCCTTCTATGTGTCAAACTCAGTTGTGGAATTTCCACACATGCTTCTTATGAATGCTGTAATCCTAAGAGGGTGCTGCGATTGCACCCACTTTGCGGGGAGAAAATTGAGGCCCAGAGAGATTTAGCAGTTGTCCCACAGATGTAGCTGGGCAAGAGTGGTATCTGGACCTAGTTGTGTGTAACTTCAAAGCTCATGCTCTTTGTAAACAAAGTAAAATATTATCCCTGGAATTTTGACTAATGTTAACTATAATTATAACCTTATATAAACATGCCTTTATTTAATGACTAATATTTTCAAAGCACTATCACATATATCATCCCGTATCAGGGCAGCTGGTAGAAGGGAGGGCTTGTGGGGGTTGTTGTGAGGATTAGGAATAATGTATGTAAAATATAATACCAAGTGTAAAACAAGTACTCAATAACTATTATTATTATTATTATTATTATTATTATTGATTTTCCCAGCAGACTTAGAAGGTAGATAGTACAGTTGTTATCATTCCCTTTGAACAGACTTTTTCTATAAAGACTGAGCCCTTTCACACTCCACAAACAAGAATTACTTTCAAATTTTTATTTACTTACAGGAATTTCAAAATCCCATATTCAACTTCAGTTTGTTTGCCATGCAGGCGGGCAGGGCATGGGAGGGAAGTTGGCGTGAGACAGGTTGACAGTCTTTCCCGGCAGAGTCAGAATTAGAAATTTTGCCTTCAGTCTCCACTGCACCTAAGCGATACCTAAGGATGTTCTTTCTCAGAAGCTGCATTACCTTCTCACAAGGGGTAATGGAGAGTCTTCCTTTCCATTACTGACTTCCACCGGGAGGGGAGCGCCCCCTGCAGAGGCGTGGACCACGCTTGTTTATCAGTGAGAGTGGTTAGCCTGACCAGAGTGATGGTTCCAGTTCTGGTTTGACTTCTGTGGCCACATTCCTGCTTTCCGTATAGTAGCAGCGAAGTACAAGAAAAGAGCTCAGTATCAGTGACTCACAGCGAGACAGGAAATCTCAAGCAGGCCCACCCTTCCTTCCTGCCCTCGGTACCAGCTGAGCTACAGAACCACAGGCCACAACCAACCTCGAGTCTCGGGGAGCTGGAGCCCACAGAGATACGGCCTCTAAGTCAGCTCTCTAAACGGATTAGAAAAGCATGCTTGTCCATCCTAGAGAATAGCTTTTCTGTTGAGCTGTCTCTTGCACCTTCACCCAGTATCTCCCTGGTCTATTCTGGTCTTTGTATTGTTTTTAAACATGAAAACAATGGGCTTGACACAATTCAACTGAGTGGCCCTCATTTGCACCATGTTTTACAAGCATGCAGGAAATGACAATAATCATCATTATCAATTAACTAGAGGCCCGGTGCATGAAATTTGTGCACGGGGGAGGGGGGGGCGGGTGGGCGCCTCAGCCAAGCCTGCGCCCTTTCACAGTCCGCAGGCCCTCAGGGGATGTCCAACTACATTTTTAAAATATCACCCTGTACTTAATTTTCTTACTAACTCCTCCTTTTAAACTCCCTTCACTCTCACATACTGTTTCTTCTTTTTATTTAAGTATTTTCTTGGCCTCACCCCATTTTAGCATCCTTCTCTTTCCTGCTTTCTTTCCCTCCCTACCTCCCTTTGAACCCGCGGCCCCTCTCCCTCCCTCCCCCCTTCTCTCCCTTCATTCCCGTGTCTGTCTTCTTCTTACTCCTCCCACCCTCCCCCCCATTCGCCTTTCCCTTGTGAGCCTGAACCCTGCCTCCCTCCCTCCTTCCTTGTTATTACCCTCCGGCCCCCTGCCATATTCACTGGTTTCTCTTTTAAACCTTCCCCTTTCCTCTCTGAGACCTGCTTCCAGCCCCGCCTGAGCGCACTTTCATATTAAAGCTTCTGTTGGGGGGGGGGGTGTTAATCCCCAGCACAGGGCCCAGCCCTGGCCAGGCCTTCACCATCCCCCCTTCCCCGTCCTCCCTGCCGCCATCCTCCCCCCATTCCCTGCCTGAGACACCTCAACTTCTAGTCAACAAAGTACACTTAACATGCCACCAACCTAACCCTGGCCAGTGTCCTTGGGGTTCAGCCATCGGGGACGAAAGTGGTGCCCTCCTTAGTGTCTGACTCCACCCCAGCTAAGCTGTGCCTCCCCTCCCAGCACGGGGCTCCTGGCCCAGTGAGGGTGGCCAAGGCCCACATGGCCCGGGAGCTGCTGCTGCGAAGCAGGAGCGCCTCCACCCAGAAGGCCTCGGACCATCCACCGTCCATCCCTCCGTCCCAACAGCCCGCGCCGGGGGCCACCACCCTCCTCCTGCATCTGGGTGGGGCTCCCCGCTCTGCACCGCCCTCTCCCCCCCCCCCAGTCGCCACCCCCTCCCGAATGCAGCCCTGCATTTTCTTCCTTTTTCCATTCCTGCGTCTTTTTCTTGTTCCCTTTCTGTATTTCTGTTTCTCCTCTCAGCCTGTCTGCATGCAGGCCTGCCTTCCTCTACCTCTCCTTCCTTATCCCCTCCTATCGTATCCTATCCTACCTACCCCGGGCTTCGCAGCTGCCTGAACAGGCGGTGGGACGCAGCCTGCCTACTGGTCGTTATGACAGCATCTCGGACAATTTGCATATTCCTCTATTATTAGTATAGATGCCTCCATGATAGCAACATGGCAGAATGTGTCTCTCTGGCAAAAATGTGAACACATTTACAGTAGATTTTGGAACCTGGTGTGAAATTCCTTCAATAAAGTTACAGCAGTTTCTCTTCATGAGAGAAGCAAATGATTATAATGGTGATAAAGGCTAGCAATTATGCCAAACACGAAGCACTTTGTACATTTTAAATCATTTCAGTCTTACAACTACCCTGTGAGATAAGCATTATTATTGTTCCAGATGAGGAGTAAATGAAAGCCTCTTCAGTGTCTCCAAATATTGTTTTTAAACCTTAAAAACAAAGCTCAAACAACAACAAATATATCTGTAATAAAACTGCCCCTTGCAATGACTTGTGAATGAATGAATGAATGACACAAAACAATGATCTACATGTTTCCCAGGTTTGGTCAAGCTCAGTAATATATTTCTAATTCATCCAATAAATGGTAAAAAAAAAAAAAATGATCCTTCCAAAAAGTCAAAACTCTGAAATAAGTTATTATAACACAACAAGCTGGTCAGTATCTTCTGGAAGCCACTTCCCTGTCTTTGTGGCCAGAAAGTGGCCGAATTTTTCGTTCCTGTGTGTCAGTGAAGGAACTAGGGCTCAGGTTGAAAAAAAACATTTCTGGGAGGGGTGGGAGGGGGTAAAGATATGCAAAACCTTTCCGTTTTCATCTCCTTTTATTTTCCAGATATCTCTAAGCTCAACTCACACCCTGTGTTCTAACCACTGCCAAAATACTTCTAATGCACTTGTCCATTGTTTTGTGTCTTTAAATAAGGTGCTGTTTTCTCTTTCGGAAAAACCACCCACCCCATTTCACCCAGCAAGTACCTGCAATTCCTCCAGCATTCAAGCATTCTGAATTCTGTCTGTTCATACACTCTAAGGGCCCCTGGGGGCGGGGCGGGGGGGAAGTGGGGAATGAGGAGTGGGAGAGACAAGGTCACTGGTCTGATGGAGCTTTCATTGTAGTGCAAAGAAAGACACACCATTAAGAAAGAAAAAGAAAGAGTGAATGGAGGAGAGAGGGAAGAAGGGAAAGAAGTAAGTGAACAAGAGAAGGAAGGAAGGAAG